GCATAATCTTCAAGGAAATAGTTTGTTGCAGTTCATCTTCCTCATTCATTTTCCTCTTTTCTAAGTCTTTCCCTCTAGATCACTTTTGTCCCTTTCTTCCATACTCTTTTCACCTCTACAGAAGAGCTACTATCAAGTTGTTCTACTCCTGCCCCTTGTCTAAACATATTACATAATCCTATATGTAAAAATACATCCTTTCACACACAGTCTCTTTTTCTCTCATGCCTCACTCCTTTTCTGACCCTATTTTCTCGTCAGGTCTTTGCCCTGAAACATAACTTGCCCTGTATCAAAGCCAAGCATATTTTTATAGCCTTTGTTGTTGGAGGAACTATTCCCTGCAAGCACAGCTCTCAGCTCCACAAGCGTGTGTCATGCCCCAGCTGCACATAAAATTCGTTTCTCCCCTCGGTTATATTATATCAAAGCTTAAGTTTCTCCAGATATGGCCAAGGGAAGGCAGCAGCCCCAGAGGGAAAAGTCAGGCACTCCTCCCGCTCTCTAAAGGCAAGGGGAATATTATGGAGAAAATAATTGTATTCTGTGTGTCCACAATACAGTACATAAATGGTAGGCAATGGATGCATGGTGTACTTTTCTTCGAGATGATGCATGGTGTACTTTTCTTCAAGATGAGATGGCTTTCCTGAATTAAACCCAACCAAATTATTCATTCAGTGTGCACCCCACTATTCCCAGGGGCCCTGCAGGTGCATCTTCTTGAGTGCCCTATGCCCCTGCCCGGTGCTTGGATATGCATCTGCCGGGTGGTGGAGCACTCGGGGGCAGATGTTAGCCACATGAAAAACGTTGGCTGTCTGATGCGGAAGGAGCTTTAGCACATGGTCCTCCAGCACCTCTTGTAAATATATGACCCGCCCCAGCAGAAGACTGAATGCCACCATGGTCTGGACTTCAATATTTATCAAGCAGAAGGGAGTCCACTAGGGCAACCTAAGGTTCCATACTGCTGTCCAATATATGTGCTTCTTCCATATAAAATGGGTAAAGAAATGGCCTTATCTCCTTCTCGAGGGTCAAATGTCTGCATGACATTGGATTTGGGAGATTCAGGTGGAAGGGCTTTAGGAATGGTGAGCTTTCCCCTTTCCACTCCCCCACCCTGTGGGCATAAATTTGGGAGCAAAAGTTCATTCAAAGGCTAAGCTTTTGCAATCTGTGCACAAGGGCTCAACCTTATCTCTGCTGTAAGGTCACTTCTCACTGGAATCCCATAGCAGATAATGTTTTGTTCTCAGCATGATCTGAACTGTTTTTAGACTGAACTTCAACACTGCCTATAGCTAATGACTGACCCATGAAGCTCAGTCAGAGACTTGAACAGAAAACAAAAAACAAATTAACAGAGAACAGAAAAGAACAGAAAAGGCCAAGCACGGCATATTAGTCTTTGTGATCCACAGCTATATTTACACCAGGAATACGGTAAATTGGTACAAAATAGCAATCTTCCTGGTGATCTTTAAAAGCATCGGAAGTGGCAACAAAAGTTGCCAACTTCCAACTTCACCAACAGACCTGGCACAAACTTCCGTGGGCCACTTCGGGGCAGCGCCAGGAGGCTCGGAGGCA